GGTGATGTCTTCTTTCCCTCATGGGGGGAACCAAAGACCCTTTGGTCCTACATTCAAACAACTGAGATTCCAGGTAAGAAAATAGCGGAACCCAAGGTCTCTGTGACTGAGGAATGATGGCAACAAAAAAAAAAGGGGAGAAAAGGGAAAGAAAAAAAGAAAAAAGAAAGCACTTTTACTGGCAAGATAGGGGTTAGGTGGGGACAGGAATGAAGAGGAGACAAAATGGATGAAGCATTACGGGCTAAAAATGATCTGGGAATAGGATGTTGGGAGAGGTGAATAGGGTAGAACAATAGAGAAGAACGTTTGCTGAATGTGAATAGAAATCATTATAAAGTTTCCACTATCTCCTAATAAAAGTACAGTAGCCTTGAGTCCCTGTGCTTTATTAAAAACTCCAGCTGGAATATATAAACGAAAGCAGGCAAATTATTCTCAAAACAGATAGCTTTTACATGAAGGAGAATGAGGATGCAGAGATTTGATGAAATTTTTTGAAGGCAAAAGATATTTGATGAACAAGGCTGAAGAGCAGATGCATCAGGGGAAGGGAGGAAAAGAAATTAATGGTGGTGAAAAAAGGGGAAGATTTGAGCTATAATTAGCATTTGTCTGTTTGTAAGAAATAAATAATCTACCCAGAAAATGTTTCTGGTACAGGAAAGTGGCAGTCTGTTTTTGTTAGATGTCAGGTATCACCCTCACTTTTGTTCTGGAAAGCTGACAAGTATAGGATTGGAAGGTTAAACATTTATACAGTGTGCTCTGTTTAGAATGGGCTTGGTACTGTTTAATGGACAATGAGTTAGACTGCAGCTGACAAAATACAGATTTCCTAAACCAAATATATTCAGTTCAATACATTTTCTTTGGTTATGATGGACAGTAATCTGGCGTGACATAAAGTTTGATTTTGCACGGCAGGTTGCATTGGTTCTGTGGTAAATGGAAGCTGTCTATTACAAAAAATGCCAGTATTCCTACAGAAGAGTGAACTGATTTGAAAAACAGAGAATTGGTTCAAGTCTCCAGCTTATCTGCAAGTAGAACTTTTCACCCATCTCACAGTACAGCACTTCTCCATTTGCTATGCATTTTCTCAGTATGTGGATAAGATGTAATTTGAGAGCTAGATATTCCCTTTCAGTTTGAAAATGTTACACTCAGTCTTTTGGTTCCATATTTAATGGACATTTATAATTTTTCTTGTAATGTCATGGGAAAGCTTTACATGTTGATAGCAATGCACTAGAGGTTCAAGCACGTACTTTTATGTGCTTTTCACTTCACTTTTTGATTGTGTTCAGGTGAGAAGGAAAAGAATAGCATTTTCGTGCGTCCAAAGATTATAGTTTCATGCGCTTCAATTAAAAGCAAGAAACAGACAAACACATTTCACTGGAGAACTGATTTAAGAAGTGGCATTTCTTCTGTGTAATTCCTAAATGATGTTTTCCTACTATACGTATAGAAAAACAGAATTTTTGCTTAAGATAATTTTGAAGAAACATTACAGACTTTCTTAGACTTCTAGAGGGAACAAAAGGGGGACCTTTGCTGCTGGGTCAAGGCAGGATTTGTATGGAAAGAATAAAATAAAAAATTGAACTGAATTGCAAAAAAGGTCATATTTGGGGATTTCATCAAGAACAAAAACTGCAATGGTACTAATGACAAAAATTTCAAACATTTTTGAAAGAAGTTTTGGGCTAAATTGCAAGGGTATTGCTGTAATTATACTGCATTTTATAAGGAGGTCTATTAGCAGATGAAATGGAAATTATTAGCAAAGGCTCCTTCAGGCCTTATTTACAGCCAGCATTAGATGAAAAATTATTTAGTGGGCAAATAAGCCTGCCAGATATGAGAGAGACAAGAAGAAATGTGTCTTGGCATGCTGGGGAGGATAAGTATGGAGAAAGCTGAAAGTATTATATTTGATAGTAATGGAATTTAGCCTGAGATGACCCTCTATTCTTGCCTATTGTTAACTTTTTTTCCCATGCAAAAAACGCCAGTGTCTGAGTGAGTTATCTTACAATAGCTGTCTGAAAGGTATAGGAACAAGCTGTTTACATACATTGTTACAGATTTCTTGATTTTTTTTATAGGATCAAAATTGAGACTCCCTTGTGGTAATGTAAAAACATAGCGATTATTTTTGCCACAAAGCCCTTCCAAACTAAGCGGATGAGATGGAGTGAGAAAGGCGAGAGAAGAGAAAAGTGGTTTGCCCAAGGTCACTGAGTAGGTCAGGAACCGGCAGCACCAGCAGCAAAACACAACCCAGACCTCTAGTCTTTCTGGGCTTACGCAAATAGGGCGATTCCCCCGCGTAACTCCTCCAGCATAGGAATGCCCACGCGAGGAGTTATGCTGGTGTAACTGTAGCTGTAGAGGATGCTGGTATCATTATGTTAGTAAATTTTCCCATGTAGCTGAGCCCCTGCTCCTGGGCCTTGACTGTGATAGTCCCCAGCACAAAGATGTTCTCCCGAGTAGCGTTGCTGGAAATTTAGCAAGAGGAAGGAAAGAAAAAACAAAACAAAACAGCCCTCACCTCAATTACAGGAAAAGATAATTCCTTTCAAGTTGAGAGGCTCAACTCCTGCTGGCCTTTCTTCTTAAGCGTACCCTTTCTGTGATTTCATAGAGCAACTTGAATAATGCTGGTTTGTTCGGTGATTACCCTCAGTTGGAGCACAAAATTAATATCTCACTAAGTAATTCAGTACATGATGGGTGAACATTTAGTTAAACATGCCCTAAAAAGCAAGAATTTTCTGTGTTTGCTGGAACTCTCTCAGTGACAATTAATTGCCTGTGTTCTTATGTGTTTATGAGCTTCAGTAAACAGGCAGCATATTTACGTCTCCCCATTACCTTTAGAGATAAACTTCCTTTAGAAGAAAAAAATCTCATGTTTCCTGATTACAATCAGGACTTTGGGGGCAGAAAGGTGGGAACTGAAGAATTTTCTCCCTCTGAAATTGTACTGCAAGTAAGTACTGAGTTAATACGCTACAGTAACGAAATGGCCTTGGTCGGTCTTGTTCCTGTTCAGAGCTTTGTTTGCCCTTTTTACCCTAAAAATTTAGACACATGAAGAGATGCAATATTTACTAACTTGTGGTTTGGAGCTGCTATAGAAAATATAACTTTTAGAAGGCATCTTTTCTAACCTGTGCAAAATCTTGGTGATTTCTGAAAGCCCTAAATTGTTGATGTGTGATCCTATTTAAGGATACAGCAGTGACACACTGCGGTACAATATGGCTCTTTAGCTTCCTTTCATCGCATTTCTTTGCCGTTAGACCACTTTCTTCCCTCATGAATCTCTCTAGAACTGAAAGGAGCTGTGAGGCTGCTTGTCCTGTTACCCTGCTAGTTGTATTTGCTTTGGCCTTTAGGATGTGATGGATCCATCATTCTTCTGTGACAACTTGGACATCACAGCTAATAGGTTGTGTTACTTAATTCTCTCTCACATCACAGAATGAATTAACATTTGGAAAGCATTCAGAGATGCTTAAGGAAAAGATTGGAGACCCAAGATAAAGGCGATACGATTTACTTTCCTTGTGTCCATTTAGCATCTACAGAAAGAGGATCCTGAAACATAACTTTGGGCTGTCTATACAACTGGCTGCTAGTTCCATTTGTTTAGGCACGTAAAAGATTATATCAAATCTCATTTAATACTTTGTGTAAAAGTAGACCAGTGGAAACATCTGAGCCATAGTAATTTAGGATAGAAGATAATAAGGTAAAAAATAATGAAACTAATGATAGTTTGGTATTGCCAATCCTAAACAAACAACAGGAAAGTCAAGTTTAGGATAATCAAGAAATTAATCTCAAATTATATAGGTTTGACTTCTTTGTAAAAAGAACCATTTTGATCAGTATCCTGATATGCAAGGTCTAATCCCCAAAGCGTCCGTGTTGCCACGATGCAGTCGGAAACACCACTGTGGCTGCAACGGCCGCACAGGGGCTGGGCACTTTGGCGCCTGTGCCTGGCGCTCAGCCATGGCTCAGAGCCCGGGCTGCCAAGCCCTTGCTCTTGTCCCAAATCTCACACCTCAGCCCCTTACTGCGCCTGGCTCCAGCTCTGCCGAATCCTAGACCTCATGGTGCTGCTGAAGAAGAGCTGAGAGCCAACCTGATCAACTTCTCACCAAGGCTGGAGAGGGGTGTGCGTGTGTGTCGGTGGGGTAAAACCACCCTAAGTGGTGTTGGCCTCTTGTGGCTCCTTCCCTCCTTTCCCCTGCCTTACCACAAAAAAGGTATCTAACATTCCTTCTCCCCATTGACAAAATTCCGGGGAGCCTGTGGGAAGGAGAGAGGGAGAAGAGGCGAGAGCTGTGCCTAACTCTTGCAGGCAGCCTCGCTGGCTTTTCTCCCTCAGTTGGAGGGTGAGGAGGTGCGGGCTGTTGGGTCAGAGGGGTTCCCAGGCCATCTCCAGGTCTGACATTTGAGTAGTCCTGCAAAAGAATCCTACTCCCATAGCCCCAGCAATTGCCTTTTTAGGAAAGATCAGAGAGACCTGGATGGGCTCATCTACACAAATCTTGAGGTCCCTCTTTCTGGAGCCAAAGATAGGGTTGAGGTCCAGCATTACGTGCAGGTGGGGAGAAGATCTGAGAATGGAGGTGTCCCCATGTCAGATCACGTAGATTCCAGGTAACTAATTCTGTCATGGTTATTAAGCTAAGTGTTTTGTTCCTCTGTGTCTTTTTTCCGCCACTCCCCTCCAAGCCTGTCGTCTATCGCAACTGATAGGTTGTATCTGGATGTATCGCTTGTTAGAAATTCAGTTAGCTATCCTTAGGCAAATTAGCTTGATAAATGAACTATTAAATAGCAAGATTCTGTGCTCATCAATATAGTTTTAAGGTCTCTGAACTGAATGAGCTGACAGATCTAGAAATAAAATCAGTATTCCTCTTGTAACCCATTGTAAACAAGCTGTCAAGCATCACTGTGGTCTCCTTTGAAAATAGCTTTAATGAGTAAATAGAGAGAATAAAGCAGAGAGACAGCATCAAAAATGTAAGCCGAAGATAACTGTTGTTTTTTTTTCCTTTAACGTTTTATACTGCTTTAGGTGATGGCAGCTGTATTTCTCCTGCTAAAGAGAATTTTCCCTAGTCCACACGTAGACAATTTTGACATAATTTTGTCAAAAGTTAATTCTTCTAGAATATGTATTACTGCTTTTCAGAAGCAGGGAGCTAGAATACCTTTGAATTACTCCCTGATTCAGGTAGGTGTGATCAAGAAGGTTTTCATGGTACAGCTTAAAATCTATAGTGTTGATATGCAGGGCTTCTTATTGAAAAAAAAAAAAAAGTGTGTAGAATTGTATTTAAGCAAATGTGAACCTCGAATTATATTCTTCCACTAGGTATCTGCTTTTCTCTATTCACCAACTTTTTTGTGAATGAAGAAATCTGTAGTTTATGAAATGTAGAAATACAGCCAAGCATATGTAATTTCTGCACCTCAGTCTGCCAGGAGAAGCATTCTTTTTTTTTTTCCCCCCGTCAGTTAACTCCAGGTTTTTTATCCACGACTGTGGTTGTTCCTGAGTTAATATTCTTTGGTGTCTTCCTTGGAATGTATTTGGCTGTCTGGTTTACAGTTGATTTGCTCCCATATATTTTATTTCACTTCTAAATTTCCCGTTGAAGATATTCCTGTTGCTCTGTGTGTCTTGTGAATCGCCCCACGCGTTGGGTGACGCTGGTTACAGCAGTTCCTTCTCTGGTGCACGGGGACTGGGCTTGCTTGCGCGATTCCCAGGAGTGGTCCTGGGTTTGAGTTGATAATGAGCATCCAATAGGAGGAAGGAAAGTTGTGAAGTTAGCTCGCTGTTGCTCACTGGAATTGAACAGCTTGTCTTTTCTTTTGAGGAACATTTATACTTAACACTCGGTAGGCAAACTGCTATTTCAGTTTGCAAGTGGATTCAGTTATTCAAATGCACAGGCCAGAAAATGAAGGGGATTCTATTTAAACAGTGTGCTCCCAAGTCACAGATGATCTTTTTGATGTCTGTATTTTGCAAATGGAAATTTTCCATTTTCCAGCACTAGCATTTGTTCATAGACTGTGTGCTATCTAAATCTGCTTTTGTGGCTGCTCATCTGCATTTTTGCTATATTGCCTCCCTTCCTCCCCCCCCCCCCCAGTCCCCCACTCTTTTGTATTGAATTCCTAATTTTACTCCCTACACTTGTATCTTACATCTCTGAAGGCTTAATCATGCACAGTGCTGAGCTCTCTCTGCTGTTTGCTCTGAGTGCTCACCACCTTTTCAGGACTACAGGTGAGAAGGGAAATCTAAACCACTTGAGTATTTAAGACTTACGCAGGGGTGAGAGCAGATGAATGGTGGAGCTGAAGTCAGCCCCCTCCCTGGTCAGGTAACAGTCCGGCTTGTCTTGCAGCTCCCTACCTTTTCCTGCTTGTGGAAACTGTTGTAATTACTTGCCGGCGTACGCGATGTCAGGGGGAATCGTGCTGAAGCTTTATGGCACGGTGTGAAATAGTCAAAAGAGTCCTTTCTGGTCTTAAAATAATGGCTCTAGCAAACCTTGTGTGTTCAGATACTTCTCTTGTCAGGACGCTATTTTTCCTCCTTACTTAGCATTTCTTTTTTATTTCACCCTGTAAACTCAGGTTCTTTCTTCTTCCCAGTCTGGTTACATCCACTTCTACACGCAAACTGCTTAGGAAGAAAAACTCTGTTAATATCCTGAGGGAAAAGTGAGAAGGTGGGAAGAGAAGCACAACAACTTAATTCTGGCAGTTGAAGGAACAATCCGAAAGTTGTCAGGCTCAAAGTATAACGTACCGTCAAGTTATCACTATTCACTTCTGTAGATACGAACCCTGGAACAGTCTATTTTACCTGCAAGGGGGAAGAAAAAGGAGGGGAAAAAAAAGAGCGTAAGCAAGAGTATCGCTGGAGTATCACGTACTGCCATGAGAGGCAGCGTAGTTTAAATCTGGGAAGCAATATAAACTGAGCCTAGGGCTGGGAGCCAGGAATTTCTGACTCCTCCTCCTGTTTCTTCCTTCCTCACTCACTTCTGTTCTGGGCTTCCAAGGGACCAGCCCACCTTAGCTGGCTTTGACTTTGGCAGAAATTCAAAATACTCAGTAGCTCTCAGAATTAGGCCTTTCCTCTGAGTCTGTTTTCACAAGCCTGGAAGCTGCGTTGGTATTAATGCTTCACAGTGCTCCTTGAGAGGGGCAACACCGAGTCATTAATGCTTGCACTGTGCTTTGGGAGCAAAGTACTGGCTTTCCAAACGTTTACCTCCCAAAACAGTGCAGCCCCTAGCCGTTCCTGCTGTATGGCGCAGACTGGCACTTAAGGGCCAGGAATTACTGATGCCTGGTCATGAAACCACAGCGTACCCGCAGACAGTGTTTTGTATGCGTGTATTGCTTCCCGCACTGCTCATTTCCTTCAGCTGCTTTCTTTTGCTCATGAACTGGCAGGTTATGGGGCAGTTATAGGAATCCATAATTTAAAAAAAAAAAAAAAGCCCTCTGCTTACCAGAACAGCGAACTGCCAGAGTAAAGCGTGATGTTTCCATGTTCCTGTCATGTGCAAGCACGTGCCCACAAACCAAAACACAGCTGGCAAGTCTAATTTTAGCTCTTACCAGCCTTGAGAATTGTCCCTTTAAAGAAAATCTTTTTATAATTATTTTTTTCTGAAGCAATTTAGTTGATAATACAGCAGCTGACAATCCTGCCGCAATACTACTGATGATTTAAATAAAAACAAAAAGAAACTGCTGCCCCACGTTTTTTACCAAATTTATAAATAGCGAAAGCCACTGTAGAAAGGCCCAGGAATTACCAGCCTTGAGAATTGTCCCTTTAAAGAAAATCTTTTTATAATTATTTTTTTCTGAAGCAATTTAGTTGATAATACAGCAGCTGACAATCCTGCCGCAATACTACTGATGATTTAAATAAAAACAAAAAGAAACTGCTGCCCCACGTTTTTTACCAAATTTATAAATAGCGAAAGCCACTGTAGAAAGGCCCAGGAATTTGATGACGTGCTAAAGGAACAAGCGATTAAAAAAAAAAAGAAAGAAAGAAAGAAAGAAAGAAATGCCAGGATTTGTGTACAAGTGCGAACATCTTACCGCTGATTTATAGTCGGGTTGCAGGACGCAGCCTTCCTTTGAGCCCTTCGGATAAATATTTGGAAACGCGGTGCTGAGGCGGCTCCGGGGCTGCCCCGCGGGCCTGGGGCTGGCGCAGGTGGGCGGCGGGGTCGCGCCTGGCCCCGGGCGGCGCTGCGGGATG